GTTTTCTATGGGAAAACATTTAATATTAAACTTTGCGCATTGTGTTTATATTCTGGGTTCATCTGCTTGCCTGTACAAAGTATGCATCCTGAATAAGGTGTACAGTATACTGAATTTGGCCTTTAAATATCACTGTCTGTCTTACTACATTACTACTTAATGCAAACCTCGTAAAAATAACTGGCGGTCAGTGGAGGAAAGCCTTGTTTCGCCCTCCATGTGGGCATTCCTGTAAGGGTGTGGCATCACGTGAAAACTATCAATTGATGGACTGGAGTCGTGTGGATTACTGTAATGTTTTTATCAGCTGTGTGGACTCTCATTCTGACGACACATATTTCCTGCAGAGGATCCATTGGAGGGAAATGATGTAAATTTCTCCATATCTGTTCTGATGAAGAAATAAACTCATCTACACATTGAATGGCCTGAGGGTGAATACATTTTCAGCACATTCAGCAAATTTTCATTTTTGAGTGAACTATCCTTATAAGTATTTGGGACATATGTGTCATGTGGTTATTTTTGGAAGACAGAATAACATTTTGACTTTCAGTGTCTTGATTAGGTCATGTACCTCGACCAGGAGCACCATTTCAGCATCGAGCAGGTCACAGCTATGTTGTTGACCAAATTGAAAGACATTGCAGAAGCTAATCTGCAGAAGAAAGTGGTGAAGTGTGTCATCGCTGTACGTTTTTGCACTAGAGCTGTGAATATTACAAGAAATCATTTATTTTCATGATATTTAATGGATACCAGAGGCATGTACAAGAAATAGAGGCTTTTAGCTCATTAGAAATTCCCCCAAAATTATTTATATTGATGATAATGTATTATAGTAATTTTTAGTCTTGTCATGATTATATTTTAGACAAAAGACCTTGCTTCATCATCATACAGCAGTACATTTTAACCAGGCCTGTTTTAATTTGCACGTAAACCACAAATGTGGAAGACACCAATCCGATGGTTTGTTTGTGTCATTTCTTTGGCCATACAAATGATTTTGTCACGCATAAATCCCCTCATTCTTCACTGATTCAGAAAGGAAGTCTGTGCTGGATGCTGCCAAGATTGCCGGCTTGAACTGCCTGAAGCTAATGAATGACAGCACTGCAGGTATCTTTTTAATTAATAAAACTCACAACAACAGTGACTTTGCCACATCCGAAGCAATCTTGACAGTGTCATTTATCATTCCAGTGGCGTTAAACTATGGAATATACAAGGAAGGTCTTCCAGGCTGTGATGAGAATCCAAAGATTGTGGCATTTGTGGACATGGGCCACTCAGCTCTCCAGGTCTCTGTTTGTGCTTTCAACAAAGGTAAACTTAAGGTGAGTCTCAGTCAAAGTCAGACGCTTGTGTAGATCTCCAACTTTGCATTTTCACGCACACCAGTGACTGCTCTGCATATTGCAGGTGCTGTCAACCGCCTTTGATCCTTATTTGGGAGGGAAAGACTTTGATCAGAGGCTGGTGGAATACTTCTGTGCTGAATTTAAGTCCAAGTATAAGATGGATGTAAAGTCCAAGGCTCGAGCTATGTTACGACTGACACAAGAGTGTGAGAAACTCAAGAAACTGATGAGCAGCAACTCCACAGACATTCTCCTCAACATTGAGTGCTTTATAAGCGATAAAGACGTATGTGAGAAGATGAACAGGTATGTGAGTGTTAGACTGTTATTTAGAGCTATGAATTGTTAATGCACAATATATCTATCTGTACCATATCAGTTATTGGTCGATGCAAGAGAATTTTGGGGGAGAAAAAAAACAAAAGACAGATATATTGACAGTATTTAAAGTGGTGTTTACACAACACCGTTTTCAACAAAAAATGGAAAAACTTAAGAATTTTGGCCGTTTATTTACACGACAACAGCATTTTAGGGGCCTGAAAACGCAAATCTTTGAAAACACGTAGTGTTACTTTACAAAGTGACATCAGCAACTACTGTCCTGGCATGCATAATACTGCATTTTTTGTCATTTTTGCAGATGCGTGTGAGAACGGGAATCGTTTTAAATATTAAATTAAATACTTAAATTTTTTTTAAAAAGTATAGAATTTTAATATCACCTTTTTATCGGTTTATCAGTTCTATGCATAACATGAAAATATTTATCAGCTTATCATCAGAATTCATTTTTAAATGTAAACTTTGGCAAATTTCACAAAGAATATACTTTTTTTCATACTGTACATTATAATGTTGTAATGCTTAAAAAAATTTTTTAAAAAGACTGCTACATAAGGACTATAACTAGCACACAACAGCTTCAAATACATTTTAGGAAAGACTCTTAATATATTTTGCAAACCATGTTTTTGTTATAGTTATAGTCAGATGTTATTCAGTTTTAACAAGGGTGTGTTGTATAATATTCCTTTTTTTCCTTTTCTATACAAGATAAATGGTTAACAGAGCTTAGTTTTACACACATTCATACCTCAGACATTTAAAAAAATAAGGACTGCTATATAAGGATGTTAACACAGCTTCAAACACATTTGAGGCGAGAGTTTGCAAAATATGTTGTGAAGCAGGAAAATCTCTTCAAGTAATGCAGCCACGTACTTTAATTTACCTAAAAATCGAAAACCGTTATTCTAAAAACCCATTAGAAATTCCAGAGGGAATGCAAGTGAATTAGCTTTCAAGGGATGCTCTACAAATTGACATCATTACTGAACAGCTATATTCAAGCTTTTAGTAATAAAAGTGATGGGGGTGGGGATAAAAAAAATACTGTAACAATATTACTATTACAATACTATAGCTTGGCTAATATATGCGGTTTTCATCGTTATGCTTTATATGATAAATAACATTGACTACCGGGGTTTCTATGAGGGTGACAGTGGGCGATTGGCTCCTTCTTGTGATGCACTAATATAATTGTGTAGAAATTTAACTATCAGCTCCCTGGGACTGTCATTTCTAGGACAAGATACAGGAGGCAAATATTCAGCTCTTGGTAGACAAAGAAAACCTTACAAAAGCAGTGTCCCCCCATGGAAAAAGAGCAGAATCAAACAGATGCACTGAGTGTAAGTGAGCTACAGTACATCTCTCACTTACTGCTTTCTCAATACATTTAGCTTTATATGTGCATATCAAATAGGCATGTTGATGTGTATCTAGTTTATGTAAAAATTTGTTATTCGTGTCACATCTTGTGAAATATCTTAATATGTACTGTATTTCTGTCAGTTTGTCTGACTGCCATACCATTATCCTAACAGACATTGTCTGTTCTTCACAGATGAATGAAGAAGTAAACAATCACCCCCCTGATGCTAAAAAAGCCAAGATGAAGGTCAAGCATGTTGTTCTGCCCATTGAGGAGACGTTTACCCAGCAGTTACCAAAGGATCGCCTCAGCAATTACATGGAGCAGGAGGTACTGTTGACTAAACCTTTGTTTAACATCATATGTATGCATCAGAGTCAAAAAAGTCTGAAAATCTGTCACTTAAAATCTAAATTACACCTTAAATAAAGTTCCTAAAAATAATTTTAGGACAAAAAGTGAGTAAGAAATATTAAATTTCTCGCTAATCGAATTAAAAACATTGTGTCATGCACTACCATTCAAAATTTGGGGATTGGATAGAATTGTTTTTATATTTTTGAAAGCCTCTAATGCCCACCTTTAGGCTATTTATTTGACCACAAAATACAGTAAAAACAGTCATTTTTATTTTAAAAATAATTGTTCTTTATATGAATATAAGTCATTACTCCAGTCTTTAGTGTCACATGATCCTTCATTAATCATTTTAATATTCTGATTTGATGCTAAAGAAAAAATTTTGTATTAACAATTGTAACATTTCATGATTCTTTGATAAACAAAGTTTGAAGAACAGTGTTTATTTGAAATACAAATCTATTGCAACTATATAAGTGTCTTTCATGCCAATTTTGTTTTATGTAATAAACATTAAAATGTCTTATTTAATTTTTTTTTTAAAGGTAGTATAGATCATGTGAACTCCTTTGAAAAGAAGAACTTAAATACTAAAATCTAAACTAAAAATCTAAAACTAAAAATTTCTTATGAATTGAACTAATGTCAAATCGTTATGCCAATAAGGAAATTTATAATTAAATAAGCTATATTAAATCTAAACAATAGCACTTTTACCAGTGGTCTCAGACTTTTAGACCCCACTGTACATGTAAAAGTTGTTTTACTGATGAAAGCAAAAGAAAAATAGCTGTCTTTTAGTTTGATATTGTTTCAGTAAATGATTATGTCAAATAATGTTTCAAAAGCTGTGATAGATATTTTGTTAGCCATAGAAGTGTGATTTTGGTATCTTGACAATACATGAAGCCATAAACATGAATAAAGACATTCTGGTAGATTTTTGAATATCAAAGCTATTCAAAAAACCATCAGTCATTCTCACCATCTGGCACTCACTTAAATTCCTCTTCTTCTTTCCTGACAGAGCAAAATGATACAGCAAGACTGCCAGGAGAAAGAACGTAACAACGCTAAAAATGCAGTCGAGGAGAATGTTTATTACTACAAACTCAAGCTGGAGGGTCTCTATCAGACGTTTATAAATGCTCAAGTAATGTATCTTCCGTGCAGTTTTTCCCAGATAACACAGCATTACCTGTAGAGTGACAAGTAATCTATTTAGCTCACAGGGACTGTTTTCAACATACAGTGATTTATTCATAGCGTTCGTTAATGTTTTCATGTTTCAGAAGCCTGTTCCTGATTGCTGAATCTCTGAACGCCATTTTCAGTTCATGCATAAATGAAATTAACTCTCATTCATTTAAAGGTGACATATCATGAAAATCTGACTTTTCCAGGTTAGTTACAGACATGTGTAAACTTGTGTGTGAATGAGAACTTAGTTTAGTACTCACATGCTGTCTTGGTGGCCGCTTTCTGTTTGTGTGCTTCGGTTGTGTGTGCTCAGAAAACCGTATATATCAGAAGTTTAAACTAATATGGTTTAAAACGCAAGATTTCTAATATGTCTCCTTTAAATCAGTTAGTAGTTCATATGAGCTCTGCAGCTGAATGTACCACAAATCTGAATGCAGCATAAGACAAACGCTTGTTTTTTCTTCTCTCCAGAACCATCAGGCATTCTCTGAGCTTTTAAATGGCACAGAGAACTGGCTGTACGAAGAGGGAGCGGACCAAGATAAGCAGACGTACATTAACAAGCTGGAAGAAATACACGTGAGTCATTTGTCCTCAAACACATTTGATCATTGGTTAGCCTTTGTGTGCCACGACAAATTGATTTTGTGTTCTCTCAGAGATAACCGGACTCGTACACAGCGATAGGTTTAACATTACACTCTGTTTGATGTGCGGCCGCAGTTTTGTGTTTTAATTGACTCGCGCTGTCTTGACAGCTTGCGGCATTTGGGATGGCATGTTCTTCCCTTAAAGGCTAAGAGAGTAGTTTGTGTAGCTTTCAAAAGCCCTCTGTTGCACTTTAGGAAGAGCACTAATTGGTTGCTGTGTACTGCACGAATGCATTCATGCTGACAAACAGTGATATATTAAAGCCTTTTGTTTTATTCAACAGAAACTGGGTAAGCCTCTGCAAAACAGATACCAGGAGTCCATACGGAGACCTAAAATGTTTGAGGAGCTGTCAGCCAAAATACAAAGCTACATGACTATTATGGAGGAGTATAAGAATGGAGTAAGAATAAGTTTTCTCTCTCATTTTCTTTGTCATATATCACATCTTATTTGGATCAATCATGCTCTGCAAGGCACATTAGAGTGCAGGGAGTTATTTTAAATAGTTGTATACATTATAATGGATCTCATGCAGTTACGCAGTCATATTTCAGCCATCAGTCTCTTACAACTGACTGTAAATAGTGTCTGCTTTTACATTTATTCATTTAGCAGATGTTTTTATCCAAAGCACCTTGCAAATGAGGAATGCAACAACACAGCAATTCATATCAAGACTGTAATATCAGAAGTGCTGAAATACTTTCTTTTAAGTTCCTAAATTGACTAGAAAAGTACAAATCAATGATTGTGTCTTATATTTAGCAGAGTAGTTTAATAATTTATTGCCAATAAAAGGTATGCACAATATATTGGGTGATACTAGGCTTTTATCATATTTAATTGTACATGCTAATTTACTGTATTTTTAAATTTAGATTGGTAAGCATTAGATGTAATTCTAATAGAGTTATTATATTTTTTACTAAAACGAAAACCTTTTTTAAAAAATTGTTACTTAAAATCAAATAAACGTTAACCGGGGAAGAAGAAGAAAAACCTGTAAACCTAATTTATTTTAGCCAGTTGCCAAAGCAGCATTTCTTTTTTATTTTGTTTAACTCGGGGTTATAATCATTTACTAAAATTGTTTATAACATTGTTCATTGAAATTGAACTGTAAAAAAGTAAGCAGAAATATTAGATAAACTTAAGTTAAATAAAAATGAGAAATGTTCCATTGGCAGCTAACTGAAATAAGCTGAAGCACTAAATTGAATAACTGGAAATATGTATATAAACTAAAACTGAAATAAAATAATTTCAACCTAAAACAAAATTACTAAAAACTACAATAGTATAGAAATATCACTAAAATAACACTGGTTAAACTTGATGTAATAAAATACAACAAAAATTAATATAAACTATATAGACATTTAAAAAAATAAAAAATAAAAATGACAAAAAACCAACAAAATTAAAACGTTAACTAAAATGAAAATGGAAAATGACGCTCACTTATTCTTAATCTTAAAGATAATCATAGACAACTGTTAAATGTCATCTTAACAAATCTCAAAAAGAATATTCATTCTTGTTGCACATTATGATGTTGCGATGCCTGCATTCACTTGTACATTTAAAACTACTGAATTTATTTTTTAATGTTTTATTAATGCATTTAGACAAAATACAAATACAAAATTGAATTTTAATACACGTTAAATTTTAAAATCAGTACATCAATCAAAAACCATGGTATACTTTTGTAATGCACTTACAAAAGTATACCATGTTAGTTATACTAGTATATATAGTATAAATATACTGTTAGTTTTAAAACCAGTTTAAAGGGATAGTTCACCTTCAGTTGCTGGTCCCCATTGACTTGCATAGTGTTTTTTTGCTATACTATGGAAGTCAATGGGGACCAGCAACTGAAGGTGAACTATCCCTTTAACAATTCTTTATATGTGTGTTTTAATATATTGCAAACTTTGTCTCTCAGAGGAACAGTTACTGTCATATTAACGCCATGGACATGGACAAGGTCAGAGTGTGTGTTGAAGATACACAAGTGTGGATGACAAACATAAAGGATTCTCAGGATAAACGCACACCTGATCAGGAACCTGCCATACACAGCACTCAGATCGAGGAGAAATTACAGGTGAGGAAAGACTAAAAGCAACTAAAAAGCTTTTCACTGGGGGAGACACGTCTAAGAATAACCTTATATGTAATCAGTATTGATTTCTATGTCCGAGCAGCCACAGGGGTGTGGTGTTATCTGTCTTTTTCTGTCATCACACAACTTTAAAACGCTTTTAAAAACCTGCTTTTTTTTTTTACTGTGAGGCATTTCTCACTTTAGTAATACAGTTGTAAATATATTTAAGCATCTGCAAAAGTTAATTACGGATTATTTTCTGTTTAATTTGCAGATTTTAATTTGTATTTAAATGTAAATGTTTTTTATTTATTTTTATTTTTTTTATATTAAATTAATCACAAAACAGGACTTTGAAAGTCAATTCAATTAGTGAGCATGTTATTAAATCCAGTTATTAAACTCACAATTTATTTATAGCACATACTGACAGCTATATCTGTGCAGCTGTCTTTGTGAAATTTGTTAATGCAGAGAATTGATGTTTGTTCCTTTGTGTTGTGCCTGAAACCTTTGCTGCAAGTTTGAAATCACAAAATAAACACCTCTACAACTTTCTAGTCCACGCTTTTTACAAGAGTCTCTTAAAAGGATAGTTACTCATCCTCATGTTGTTCCAAACCTCTATGACTTTCTTCAGTGGAACAAAAAATGTATCATATAAAATGATGTTTTGGACCCCACTGATGTCCTGATGTCCACTGTATGGACAAAAACAGTTTTAACATTCTTCAAAATTAGAACGACAATTTTCAGGTTTGCATTGACGAAGTAAATGACAGAATTTTCAATTTTGGGTAAACTATTAAAAAAATTAAACCCTTAAAATGAAAATAAACACTGAAAATGCATGTTTTTAAATCATGAGGTCATATCTAAAGAAAAAAACAACTCTTCACTCTTTTGATATCACTATTATATCATTTATTTGGCCTTGTCCTAGTGTCCTCATCTTAGCGCCCTTTATTTACTTTGAAGTGACTACTCTTCTGCATCGTTGAATATGAATGAATCGATCTTTCTCTGAGGGAGAGGTCTGGTCTTTTACATGTTGCTGGGGTAACAATAAGATCCAAGTCCTTCAAAATGTTGTAGTCCTTGAGACCCGTTCTGTTAACGTGTTTAAATATAGCATGGCGCTGTCTGCAGTCCAAAAGAATGGAGAATATCCATTTTGTTATTGCTTATTTAGAACACTTAGTTTGCATCTAGCTATCTGTTTATTCTTTTTTTGGTTTTCATGAAATTATATACTAACCTCCTGCCAGGCTCAGACAGACACCAGGAGTCGTTTGTTCCATCTTCGATATCTTTATCATTAAGGATTGATGGAGGGTCAGTCTCATCAATGTGGGCATCCAACTGCAATTAGAGCACATTAGGACTGTTTTAGAAGCCAGATTTTCATCTCGAAAACACCACCTGAGCTATTAGTGGGGAAAACAGAGCTTTATAAAACAACCACACAAGGCTTCATCCAAATTTACCTCACTGTTTACATTTTCCGTTTTCTCAGAGTTCAACACATCTGACAGACTGGTCTCGTTATCCAGTATGTGATGTGAAGGCATACTTAAAGGGTTAGTTCACCCAAAAATGAACACTCAAAAGGATCACAGATGACAAATAGCTAAGAAACACCGTGGCAGGTGTCGTTTGCATCAAACACAATGTGACTTTCGGCAATCGAGATCTGACAGGAACAGCACATTTTTCAGCTTGGGCGAGCGCTTCGCGGACAGCTTACCTCGCGCATTAAATCTGCCGCAGACCAGCAAATCACTGAGAACGCGCTATAATCCTGACGAGTCATAGGAACAGAGCGGAGACGAGAAAGATGCGGAGAATCCGCTCGCCCGGAAGCAACCGCAACTGAAGTAGAGTTAAAGAAAGTTACTGCCATTTGGCAAATAAATTATTGTACGTTCTTATTCCTAACACTTTAATCTTTAAGTTACATTTCAAATGACAAGGGATCAACTTATAATCATGTTTATATGAATTATCCCGTGAACTTATTCTCTCAAATGGCCTGGGTATGCGGAGCATTCGCAGCTTATATGGACGGAACGCCATTGCATCCTAAGTGTATATGACTTTCTTCTTTCAGACGAATCGAGTCGGAGTTATATAAAAAATTGTCCTGGCTATTCCAAGCTCTATCATTGCAGTCAGCGGGTGTTGCAGTGCTTCAGTCCAAAAGAAGTGAAATAAAAAGCGCCCATCCATAAAAAATGGGGGGGGGGGGGGGAACAAAGGCCTCCTGTAGCGAATTGATGCGTTTTTGTAAGAAAAATATCCATATTCAAAACGTAATAATCACTTTAATCTAGCTTGCGCCAACAGTTGTACACGGAAGCAGCTCCGGGCGGATGACGTATGGGATCTATGAGAATCTCATAGGGAACAGCAGGCTGCTTCCAGGAAGATGGTGTGTTGATGCTCCAACTTTCTTCTTGTCTAAATGTACCTGTAGTTTAATTTAGTTTAGTTTAGACTGTCATTCATTCGATTCTCGAACGAATCACTCTGATGAATTGGTTCTTTTTTTTTTTTGTGAATCAACACATACAACACATATGTCCTATGAAGCTACAAGATAAAAATTTAGATATTATCGTTTCAAGCAGTGTTTTGTAGGACTACTAAAGGTGCGGTGACATTAGCGAACTTTCACGGGTGAAGAATGTTCATTGTCTATTGTCGACAGTGTAACGATGGTCCAACTTAAACTGGTTGCAAAATCTGTGAGGGAAAATCTTTCGCACTCCTATTCAAATGACTGGATTTCGCCATCAAAAAGTGGTAAATGTGGCTGTGCATGTCAAATTATTCAATTACTGTTCAGCATTAGCAGTCCCAAAGAACAATACTTGAAATAGAACCAATTCATTAGCATTATTCGTTCAAGAGTCGACCCAGATAGCACACGCATGTCTGCAAGATGTCTGTTAAAGATCGCTTCATCTGGAAAGCATCTGGTGTGTACAAACATCTGATAGACATCTTTAAGATGTCCGTTTTACATACATTCTAAATCATAAACAACTTAAAGACATTTTCTAAATGTCTATTTGACATCTAATAGGAAACATTCCTATAGACGTTTTGCAGATGAGCAAACACTCTAAAAAATACGTCTTGCAGATGTAAATGCAGACGTTTCTGTGTGCTATTAGGGGAACTACGCTACTTTTTTGGTTCTACTTTTTAGTGAATCAAAAAAGAACCAGCTCAAAAGAGTCATTCTGAAATCAGACTACTCTGTATTTTTGTACTGTAGCTATATTTAGTATAAATGTTTCAAAAGCACATATTGGTATGATGCTCATACATTTAGCCATATAGTTTATGTAAAAAGACTTTTATCAGATGTACCTATAAATTCCCCATGGATACTCCACAACCGTACTGAGCAGTCCATTGAGGAGGTAAGCAGAAAATGCCAATTATCTTCAAGCTTGAGGTGAAGAAATTATGTAAATGTTAATGAGATCCCTTTTGTTAAAAAAACAAATATTAAACAAAAAAACTGAAAAGAAAGTAATAGTAAATAATAAGAAAATTGTATAAATGTTATGTTCTTATGGTGTTTTTGTTTTTTCACTTATTGAACCAACCTAGTGATGCTGCTGATATGCGCACGCCAGAAGTTCACCTCTAGAAATGAATAATATTAAGTGTATGAATAAAAGATATTCAAGGCTCAACATAAAAATAAAAAACATACTTTGAGTCACGTAAATAAAATGAGGACTGGCCTTACTTTCAGGAGGGTTTTGCATTGTAAACATAGATGAAGCCGACATGATCGGCTGTAAAAAGCATGCTGTCATCCTGCGTTAAGTTTCATAATCTGCTGCTGAAGAGGAGACTTAAAAAGAAGACAGCTTTAATTAGAACCTTTGCCTCATTCTGTTGACATTGAATTTATAAGATAAAATATATGATACTTACAGCCTGAAAAGATGTGACGAACTTCCCGACATTCAGAACACTCCAGAAATTAACATAACCTTTGACAGAGAATAAATATGTTGAGTGAAATCAGAAGCTCTGCATATTATGAACTGATTTTCTTCTTTCTGTGATTTTATTCATCACAAAGACCAGTTTACCTTGAGACCCTGAGGATACAAGCCAAGCAGAAGAGGACATTTCAGGTACAAACGCCCGTGTCGTTAGGAAGATGAGGCTCAGCACACTTTTGTTTTGAACTATCATATACAGTTAAAAAATAAACAACACATTAGGTCCTCTTGCATAGTGCAACACCTCAAAACACATTCACAAGCACAAATTAACAGAATGAAAGCCTTCTCGCTCTTAAAAGGCATAATTCACCCAAAAATTTAAATGTACATAAAATTGAAATAAAAAAAATAAAACCTCAGGCCTTCCAATATGTAGATGAGTTTGTTTCTTCATCAGACCTGATTTGGAGTAATTTAGGATTACATCACTTGCTCACCAATGGATCCTCTGCAGTGAATGGGTGCCGTCAGAATGAGAGTATCAAACAGATGATAAAAACATCACAATAATTCACAAGTAATCCACACCACTCCGGTCCATAAATGTAAATATTGTGAAGTGAACAGTTGCTTGTTTGTAAGAAAGGCATTTTAACTTTAAACCATTTTGGGGGGGGGGGGGCTATGAGTCCATAAATCATAATAACACTTCTTCCTGTAAAAAAGTCCATCCCTTGTTGTCATCTCACATCAAAATCCACCAACATATATGTTTAGAACTGTTTTCACTTGTAAAAGCTGTTTGATCTGTGCATATTTCTCTCCTGATTCAGACAAAATGACCTTTTCACTGGAGAAAGCAATATTATGGCTAAAGGACTCATATTTTAGCTGAAATCAATGGTTTGAAGTTAAAAATATCTTGATGAATTTGTTACAAACACGAAGCTTTTCACTTCACATGATGTTAACTGAAGTTGTATTGATTACTTGTAGATTATTGTGATGCTTTTATCAGCTGTTTGGACTCTAATTCTGACGGCACCCATTCACTGCAGAAGACCCATTGTGCAAGTGATGCTAATTTTCTCCTGATCTGTTCCAATGAAGAAACAAAATCATCTACATCTTGAATGGTGAGTAAATTTTTTTGGGAGTGAAGTATTCCTTTA